AATATGTGTGGCTAATTTTGTAGCACAAGTGCATATGTAAGATTATCTTCAGCCAAATCTGTCCATGGTCTAGGGTGTATTCCTGTTTTCCTACCTCCACCTGATCTTCTCACCTGTCTGTGCATTTATCTGTAGCCTGGTGTTTAGTGTTAATGGTAATGCAGCATTGTGCATATACTAGTATTTGTCTCTGTTGACTATATCTTATGTGCATGTTTCAGTGTCCTTCCTTTCCCCAATGTCATCATGCTGGTCACAGGCTCTTTCCAAACCATCCCTCCCTTCACCCAAATCAACATGTGACACCTAACTAGTCTGAAATTTTCCCTAGCCTTCCCTCCCAATCCCCAGTGTAATCCATACTTAAGAATATAAGTCTTTGATCTTCATCAGTAAGTACTTCAAATCTTTTTCAATTTTAGGAAGCAGAGTTGTGTCATCTGCACATCTAAGGTTGTTGAGGGTCTTCCCCTAATCCTAATGCTGTGTTCTCCTTCATACAGTCCATTTTCTTATATCATTTGCTCAGCATACATATTGAATAACTATGGTGAAAGGATACAACCCTGATGCACATCTTTCCTGATTTTAAACTATGCAGTATACCCTTGTTCTGTCTGAATGATGGCCTCTTGGCTTAAGCACAGGTTCCTGATGAGCATAATAAAGTGTTCTGGAATTCCCATTCTTCACAATATTATCCATAATTTGTTATAGCCCACCTAGTCAAATGTGTTTGCATAGTCAATGAAACACAGGTAAACATCTTTCTGGTATTTGTTTTCAGCCAAGATCCATCTGACATCACCAATGATATCTCTCATTCCACATCCTCTTCTTCATCCAGCTTGAATTTCTATCTAGTTATGTACTGCTGCAGATGTTTTTGAAATATGCTCAGCAAAATCTTACTTACATGTGATATTAATGATATTGTTCAATAATTTCTTCATTCTGCTGGATATCTTTTCTTTGGAATAGGCACAAATATGGATTTATCCCTATCAGCCAGGTAGCTGTCTTCCAAATTTCTTGGTATAAAAGAGTGAGTGCTTCTGGCCTTATATTTGTTTGTTGAAACAATTCTTGGAGCCTTGTTTTTTGTGAATTCCTTCAGCAGCTTGGACATCTTCTTTCAATGACATCATTTCTTATAATATGCTACTTCCTGAAGTGATTGAACTGACTGAACATTGCCAACTCTTTTTGGTACAGTGACTCTGTTTATTTCTTCCATCTTCTTTTGATGCTTTCTGCCTCATTCAATATTTATCCATAGAACTTTTCAGTAGTAGATCTCAAAGCTTGATGCTTTTCTTCAGTTATTTCAGCACGAGAAATGTTGAGTGTGTTCTTCCCTTTTGACTCTAGGTCTTCGCATATTTTATTGTAATGCTTTGCTTTGTCTTCTTGAGTCACCCTTTGAAATCTTCTGTTCAGCTCTTTTACTTCATCATTTCTTCCATTTGCTTTAGTTGCTCTCCATTCAATAGCAAGTTCAGAGTCTCTTCTGAAATCCATTTTAGTATTTTCTTTCTTTTTAATGACTTTTTTGCTTTCTTCATGCATGATGTCCTTGATATCATCCCATAACTCTTCTGGACTTGGGTCATTGGTGTTCAATGCATCAAATTTCTTCTTCTTATGGTCTTTAATTCAGGTGGGATACATTTAAGGCCATATTTTGTTTCTTGTGGATTTGCTTTGATTTTCTCCAGTTTCAACTTAAACTCATGTATGAGGAATTGAAGGTTTGTTCCAAAATTGGCTTTTGACTTGTTGTGACTGATGTTATTGAGCTTCTCTATTGCCTCTTTCCACAGATGTAGCTGATATGATTCCTTGTGCTCCATCTGGCACAGTCCATGTGTATAATAGCTGTTTATGTTGTTGAAAGAAGCTATTTACAATGAATAAGTCATTGGTCTTGCAAAATTCCATCATGTGATCTCCAATACCATTTCTATTACCAATGTCATATTTTCCAACTACTGATAATTCTTCTTTGTTTACAACTTTTGCATTCCAATCACCAGTAATCAATGCATCTCGGTTGCATGTTTGGTCAATTTCAGATTACAGAATTTGGTAAAAATCTTCAATTTCTTCGTCTTTGGTTTTGGTGGTTGGTGTGCAAATTTGAATAATAGTAGTTCAAATAGCATTGTAGTTCAGGATATATCTTGAAATATTCTTTTTGGTGATAAATGTAATGCCATTCCTCTTCAATTTGTCATTCCCAGCATAGTAGACCATATGATTGTCTGATTCAGAATGGCCAATATCGTCCATTTCAGCTCACTAATGTCTAGGATATTGATCTTTATGCATTTCCTTCTTGTCAAGTTCCCATTTTCCTAGATTCATGCTTTGTACATTCATATTTCAATTATTTATGGATGCTTGCAGCTGTTTCTTTTCATTTTGATTTGTGCCACATCAGCAAATGGAGGTTCTGAAAGTTTACTTCATCCAACATGTTAACTGAGTCTACTTGGAGGCGGCAGCTTTTTCCCAGTCATATATTGAGTACCTTCCAAACTGAGGGGTTCATCTTCCAACACCATATTAGAAAATGTCTCAATGCCATTCGTAAGGTTTCAGTGGCCAATTTTTTCATTAGTGGACCTCCACATCCTTCTTCCTAGGAGTCTTGGTCTGGAAGCTTTGCTGAAACCTCTCTACCATGAATGACTCTGCTGATATTTGAAATACTTGTGGCATAGTTTCCAGCATCACAGCAACATGCAAGCCACCACAGTGCAACAAACTGACAGATAAGTGATGGGATAGATAGATAATAAAAAAGCATTCATCATAGTTCATTATAGTAAAAACTACTATAACACTTTTTCTACATATTATTCACACTTACACACACACACACACACATTCATTTTTTTTCCTCATATAGAGGAAAGTAATTACATCAAGCATATTTGGAGCCATTAAATACTACATAAAATGTGTAGATAACTTCTTAGATACATGAATGAAAACATTTTACCATCAAGTAAATAAAAGTGAGATAATTTTAAATTCCATATATATTAGCAAGGAACACTAATATTCTAGAAAAGCAAACTTTATTATTCCAAATATTTTGAATTGCATTTCTTTTGCTTATTTAACAAATTAGCAAGTGATGGTGGGAAATAGCAATTATGCCAGTGCACTCTGGATTGATTGAAAACCTTTTAGCTCATTGTGAATAAGTAAATGAAAATTTTAGGTTATATAACAGTCTACTCTTACTTAAGACTATGATAAAGTCATTAAAAATATGCTTTCCTAAGTACTCCTAAGTCCCTTAGGATGAATTTCTGAACTTCTTTTCTTGTATTGTCTGAAAGAATGGTCCAGAATATGCAGTACTGGGCAGGGTTCTCTATGCTGGCAGGTACTCCAGTGAGGCAACTTCAAGTACTGCTCTGACATGAAATCCTTTCAAGTATTCCTCTTGCTCACCTTTGCAGGGACTCCAATCTTTTCTGTGATTCATCCTTGTAATGTCATAGAGGAGGGGCCAGGGGATCTACACTGAGCCCCAACCACTTCCTCTCCCCTTGTTTTTTCTAGACTCTGGAAGCTATACTCTGTAGGTTCAATTACATGATTTCCTTTATAAACGAAGACACTATCAATAATTCCAATGTTGTTGAATCTTTTAAGAGAAAGACTATATCCCAAAATAATTCCAAACTGCCAATTTGCCTTCCAGCTAGGGTCATGAGCAGTGGATGGCAGCTACCTATAGTGATTTCAAAATGATTTTCTCTCTTAATAAAGAATTGTAACAAAGCAGCAGCAACAACAACTTTGATTTTTTACAGTAATTTACTGTATGTGAGAATTTATCTGTTTTTCCCTAGAATAACAATTTAAGTGAATAATGATGATGGTGATAATTATAGTAATAATAATGACAGATTTATACAAAATATATACCTATATATATTTGCTTGAGGTGATTTTCAAATAACTTTTTGTATGACTTCATATTTAGTCCTCTGAATCATTTGTACTGTCATTATTATCTGCATTTTACATATAAGAAAATTGAGGCCTAGAGATTACATATCACGTACAAGTTCATATAGCTAATTAAAGGTGGATTTGACATTTGAACATAATCTGACCCAAGATACCACATGCTGAGTCACTGATCTATTATGCTCAGTCATAGATCTACCCATGTTTCACCAAACATGACTTGCTTTTTCTCAATCTTGAACCTTTGAACATATTGTTCTGCAAACCAAGTAAC